GTGCTATTTAAGTAGGTTTATGGCGTGTAGTTTGCACATGCACCATCTGTTTTATCGTTTACGAACATCATTTATTCAATTTATGTGAACTTGTATATTATTAAGTTTGATCACAGTACAAACAAACATTTTATCCATTGCAATAGTAATTCTAGGTATAATAAAACCATTCTGTCATCAACAGACAAAACAGCAGAAAAAGAACTGTAAAATAAGTATTAAATACTTACCTTCACCTCTCCTTAAAATGTCTGTCAAGAAAGTGTATTTAGCAAATGTGTCAAGTCGTACAAGGTATGCACCACGGTTCCGGCAGTACACCTGTTAAAACAAACATGTTTAAATATCAATCTCAATTTAATTCTGGGCTCTTTCAAATACGGACTTTTTCTTTTGTATACATATATTGGCAGATTATCAGACATTCAGCAATTATTGCAAAACACATAAAGGAGTTATCATTTCGACATCCTTTGACATTTTTTACTGGTTAAAAATATATATCTGGCCACTATTGATTACAAATATGGCAATGAAATATCAATACGTCTGAAATGCCATGACCTTATTATGATGATACAGAAATAATACTACTAATACGTATATAAAAAACATCTTTTATAGATGACATGATAGTTACATATTTGTAATAAAATCTTTTAATGATAGTCATAGCAAAAATTAGACAGAATGTTCTTTCTTTGCAGTATTAGATTTGGAGGACCAATAATAAAATCAACGACATCGACCTCAAAAATCACTGACATTCAATTTACTAAATTGATTAAATACCAACAAGCAAATTAATTAAATTGGGTTTTTAAATTGTTTCATAAACAAACAAAAACGAGCATTTATATAACATCGTATACTTTATATAAACATAATAAATAAATAAATAGAGAAAAACAGAATCCCTAAAGAAAGTCCAACACGACAAATGTGAAAATGTTGCAGGCTCGGTTTGATGAGCCTCTTCATGGACGGTACAGGAAAGCCAGCATATTTTGCGCTTTCTAAACGTAGGTGGTTGAACATATTCCTGAAAAATTTAACAGCTTTGTAAGCGTGGCCAAACGTCATTTTATATCTCCTATTGCTACATTTCTTGTCATCTTTGCAGTGAGATTGTTATATATTTTACTTCTTGCATTAATTTCTTGCACCAGACTTGTCACGACAAACAGCAATTCTATAGAAGCCTTCATCTTGCCAAAGTCCAAAAACTTATCTAAAGGTTATTATGATAAAATTACTTGGATAGGCTTTAAATCACAATTGTCTGTGAATTTTTGCTTTCGGAAAGATTTCAATTTCATTATGTAGCTTGTTTACAAATTAGATACGCAATAGTTAAGTGTAAATACTCGTGGTTGTGTATCTCAACCAAATACCAAATAAAATAATTGAACCACTTGTTGTCTAAATAGAAATATTACGTAACGAATTTACTTCAGTTAGATAAATATAAATTGGATTAAATTATGTAATGGTATATCAATTATCAAACTTACGAACAAAGCACAGTAAAGTATACTATTTTAACACTGTCTCTTTGTTCCTTCCCGCTCTTTCCGACCTCTTTGGGCTAGTGACACGACCGGACTAGTATATTCTTCTTATTTCTAAATGCAATCTCATTACGAGTAACGAATGGATTTCTTATTGTCTTGTTATAGCCATGATTTGCACGTAGTTGACCCCTGCCTCCCCCCCCCCCCACAAAAAAACACACACACAGTGAGAATGCCACGCGACGTTTCTTAACAGATCCATGTGAATAGTTTATTTTCTTTGAACATATTTGTGCATGTTTGAAACAAATGAAACAAAATGAACAGCGTAAAATACTTTTTCCCAAGTTATTGTGCAACTTTAAAAAAGAAAATTTTGAAGAAATTGATCACATTTTACATAATTCGTCAAGTTGTTTTGTTCTGATTAACGTTAATGACATCAAAGAATATTGTTTAGAGTGAGGATATTGTTGGGATGACTCCAATTAAATGAATTTATGAAGCATTACTCCTTAGACATCGTCATTTAAATACACGTACAGACTTGCTATGCTTTCATTTTGGAAGAGTGGAAGAGTGGTTTTAAAAGACAGGAACAAATCCACTTATCTTTGTAAACTAATCGGATAGTTTCCGCGCATGATAAAATCATTTTATTCTGCAAGAATCTAATTTACAGTAAATTGTTGTTAATAAAGAAGATAAATTCAGCAAAAAATCATTTAAGTCATTCTTATAGTAATATTTGTCCATTTTTTTTTCTAAAAACATGATAGTTTTAATTGCAATTCACAACATATATACACAAATGAGAGAATTGAAAAAAGTCCATATTCAGTACGTTCTAATGAACAAATGGCTGTTTCGAAGTTTTGGTCTAGAAAAAGAATATTGATTGGGATTTTCTCAACATTGAGACAATGGTACATGGAGCAGTCTGATAAAAGTGATGACACAGATGTTATTTTTTATCATTTTCTTTCAAAGTAAGCTACATCTGTATTGTTATTCATCTATCAGTCATTTTCTAAGATTTTATAATCATATTCTAAATGTAGAACCTCTGTCTGGTAAAGCATCTTGATATACCATAGTAGCTCAAAGGCACATATAATACTCTTTTGTTTTTCATCGAAAGATAGAAGAGATCACCTGGCAATGATAGAGTCCTACTGACAATGACATAGATGTTGCAAAAAAGACGCTATGGTGATATTCGGCAGTCTGTAAGGCATTGCAAGACTTAAACACTAGAAGACATAAAACAACCACATAGTTGTTGCAAATCGGACACATGGTGGTATTAGACCGTCATTTTAAAAAATAAAAATGATGCTTCCAATAATTTTAGTCATGCATGTGCATATAATACTAGGGTTTAATTTGAAGTGAAATCCACGCATCACATCAATTATACTGTTACTTGAAGTTTCGGATTAATTACAATGTCGTTTCCTAATTGGCTTAACATCTGTATATAAATTACTCGTATGAGTATTGTTTCTTTGGAATGAAACTCGTCCTTTATTTGAATTCCAGAAAGACAAGGTATTTCAGGCTTTACATGGAAAAAACGCTGAAGTCAAGGATTCATTATTGCAAGGTTAATTAAAGAGCAAGTTTCGAAGACGAGTATTTGAAATAATTGAAAGTTGTTGTTAATTTAGCATCCTAAAAAGCAATAATATATTGGTTTTACACAAGAGAGTAATGAACATGAGTAGCATTTAGTTTCCACAGGATGGCACAGTCCCCGTTTAGCGTTACTTATAATTGCGTGGGTGGTAATAAATTCGTTTCATTGAGCGACCAACCCATTCTTCAGGTCTGGATTGGATTCTATTGACTTACATATGTATGTTAAATGTTACAAAATACACAGTCGCTTTGACATACAACTAAGTTAGCACACACGACTGTATTAACTTTTCGTTAAGATGGATATATGGTCCATCGTTTTCTTGATAGTTACATTTTGGCGGTTAGGGATTTAAACACTTGATTAATTGTCAGGAACTTAATCTGAACTTTATCTATAAGACATTTTTCAAGTATGATAAACGACATTATCAAGTAAGTATCTCATCATAGTTTTGAATTATAATTTATTACAAAAATGAAAGTTGCCAGATAGACATTATTGTGAGCGTAAATATTTTGAAAATGGGAGATTCCTCAAGAGCAAAGACAATTACCAACAAATTGTTGAAAATCGCAGACTCGGTTTTAATGAGTGTTCATTAGGGATAATAAAAGATGCAACATCATGTGCACCCCCTAGCACCGACTTGAGGTATTAGAACCTTAACACTAAATGTACTGAAATCAAGTATCCCTAATTACCTTAGAAGAAATAATAACTACACTCTAATCATGTAGTCTTAATGTCCGCCAAACAATCTCAGAAGTTACAAAGATACGGCTTACAATAAACGTTTTATTTGTCTTGTAATCTTCTTACTATTCAAAAGTTTTAATATTTTCTTTAAATTCTCACTAAGCCCTAAAATATAATTGTACTAATTTCCCAAACCTTCTTTGCTTTGTTGTCCTGATACAGTTTCCGAAAAGATACATATTGGCCATATGGCTAGCTAACATTTAGTTTCATTTGCATTTTGCAATTCAGCACAGTTAAAATGATTTAGCATTTTGTATGGAAGTAAGAATATCACGTTGTTAACATTTCGCTATTTTAAATGAGAAATTATTTCACATTCAACGCTACTTTCTTCAGGTAATAAGCATCCAATATGCTTGTAATTCATTATTACAACAGTATAAAATACATATGTGCCCAAATGATATAAAAGTTTTCGATATGCTGGGACTGGACAAAACATTTTTTCTTTCGAAATTTTAATACTATTTAATCTATGTCTATACCAAAACCTTGCGTACAAAATTATATCCCATTCGCATATTTTATGCAAATTGATCTAAACATAACAAGGACTTAAAGGCCATAGCTCTAAACGAGCTAAGGATCGCAATAAATATGGATTTCAATTTCATATAAGGTCTTTATTATCTTTATCTTTAAATTTGCATTTTTCACCGTCATAAGTGCCCAATTAGATCTATGCCAGATTTTCAAGTTTCATTGTTTAGGCATTTGGTCCTCAGTCAAGCGCTTTTAATATAAATCGGTCGAAAGCTTTTTACAAATATTATTTCTAATTGACTTATTTTCATCAACAATTATTTTGGTCGAAACCTACATTTATAAAAACTATAATGGTTGCAGATAATGCTTTTAATTAAGAATTCAAAACATTATGTGTTAAGGACAGTCACAGAAAATAAGTAAGGTTTACGAACTGTTTCGTTTATATCTGTTTTAAAATAAACGTTGCCGTCTTCATATTTCAAGGTTAATTATTAAGGGCCATTTGAGTTTCGATCGGTGGATCTTTGTCCCAAAAACAAACTATTTTATGCCCTAGAACATGTCAGAATTGTACAAATAAAAATGACTCAAAGACCTTTTTACACTGTTAAGAATAGCAATTAATGAGCTACAATCAATGATCATGTAAGACCAGAAAAAATATAACACTGAAGTGAAATACGTGGCAATTTTTTACCGCTGCCACACCGCCCTCGACATCTGCTGTTGTGAGTTTTGAATTTGTCACTTTTTAATAAAATACACATAAAATAATAACAAATCAAATATTGCTTATAAATGTTTGCAATTTATCTTTATTCAATTTCGCACAATGGTGTCAATTTATAACTGCATGGCACATCGTTCCACTTGTAGTCCCAATAGATACTAAAGTGTACACAGTCTTCAGCGCCATTTACATTGTTGGGCTCCCCAGCTGCCCAGTCAGAGAATGTAGCATGCTCTTTTGTGTCAAACCATCTCCAGATCCCTTCGTGAGTCTTGTCGGTCAAACCAATCCATGTATTCTCAGCTAAATATAAAGAAAAAGAAATAATAATTGCTATGCAAAATATTAATTTCAACAAAATCTACAAACTATGCTATGTAAAATAAATAGAGAAAAATAGAGTTCCCTATGTAACAGGACGCTGAAGATGTTATAATTGTGAAAGTAAATGAAACTTTTGTTTATTTTATATTGTGAAACTTTTGTTAGCTTTATATTAATTAGAAAGAGTCCTAAGTAATAGAATACCAAAACCTTAATAAACATAACGCAATAACTGGCAAATCATACAATAAAGCATAAACTGTACAATTTCAGGTTTTTTTTCTTCTGTCAATCATTTCTTGAAATCGTTTAAAAAAGAAGTCAAGGGGTTTCTATCATTATATTTTGTTAAAAAATAATCAAACATTCCCTTAAAAAAATTTCTGATTTATTTGTAGGTTTAAAGTGATGATTTCGCGCATGCGTCATCAGTTTTATCGAAATTTAACGATCATCATTTATTCAATTTATGAACACGTGTAGGATTTTGATTACTAAACAAACATTTTACCTATAGCGATGGATTCCTTAAACACATTTCTGAGATAGGCCTAACATAGTCATTCTGTCTTCAACAAACAGAATAAAAGAAAAGGAAAAAATAAAATAAGTCTTGAATACTACCGTTAGATTTTCTTAGAATTTCTGCAAAGAAAGTGTATTCAGCGAACTTTTCAAACCGTACAAGGTAAGCACCACGATTGTGACAGTACGTCTGTATGAAAAATACATTTTAAGCATAATGATGTTGTTAGTTTTATTTATCAAACAGGGATCTTGTAAAGCATATACATGTAAAGAATTTATCAATTCGACCGTCTCAGATAGTACTAGTGTTTACAATAAATAAATCTGGCCACTTTTGATTAAATTTGTCGAATAGATATCTATACGACTAAAATTTCAAGAAAATTCCTTTTGGTGGTTAAAGCAAAGTGCCTCCAGATTGATGGTAATTTTCATGAAAATTTTGCAAAGTAAAAATTTAAAAGTAAAATATTGTAGAGTGATATAAGAAAGTAATTTACACATTACAAAAACAACGGCTCTGAAAATCCTTTTTAATAACCAAAAGAGATAAAAATATGCAAAATAGCCATTTCTTCGTTAGTCATGTAGATCTAGTACAAATATGATGACAGATACTGCAAAATCAGTCATTACTCACACTTAACATGTACATTATTTCTTGAATATTGAACCATTTTACTATTCTTCAAATCTTAGTACTTTTTTCTCAAATTTGTTCATCTGGAAGCATGCAGCTTTAAATGATTCAATTTTCATATTTTGACAAACACGTGATAAACTAATTATTAACTGAATACAAATATAATCAATTTATGTGTACATTCAGTTAAATCCTTATATGTCGTATCTATACTAGCAAAAAATACATTTTTGTATGCCTCACCCGTGCCTCAGAAAATGTAAGTTTCGTTCCATAAGCAATATGGTAACAATGACCTTGATATTGTATCCAGCCATCTTTGCAGCAAGCTTAAACAAAAAATTTAGCTTTTATATATGCATGACATTTGATATATCTTACATGATGTGTTACTAGCTAGTTATTTAAATGATATTCATAACAAAAATATGCCATTATGCAGTATTGAATTTAGAGGACTTATGATAAAAAATCAACAAGATCGACCTCCTTTATCACTAACATTGAATCAACTTAAATACCAACAAGCAAACTATTTGTGCATTTATGTAAATAGTATACATTGTACTTAATATTTACATTATAAATATTTAGCATATAGTTTGCATTTGTTATCTAATAGTAAATGGTTTTACAAATTTCAGCGAGGCAAAACGTTATGAATATGAAGCTAAAAGTCATTCTGGAATTTTCCGTTCTATAAATGATGTAAGCTAATTGTAATATAAGCTTCTATAAATCTTTTTACCTCTTGCATTAATTCCTGGCAGAAGGCTTGTAACGACAAACAGTAATGCTACAGCGGTCTTCATATTTCCAAAGCCCAACAGCATGTCTATATGTTTTTTAAAATATAGTTATTTAGATATGTTATATAATTATAACAATATTGTATAAATAGTTGCTTTCGTAAAGACTTTAATAACGGTGTACATTTGGAAACTTTAAAACAAAATATAAATTAACTAGTTTCTTTTGTCAAAGAATGATAATACGTATATAAAAAAATGCAAATCAAATACATCGGCAGTGAATTTCAAAGAATAACAATCAAAATAAGTAAACAAATAATTGTCGGCTTAAAAGAATTGTTATTTAAATAAAGATTCATAATATTTCAAGCTCTGTACAGTATACTATTTATCACTGTCTCTTTATTCCTCCCCGATCCTACCAATCTCATTTAGTTAGTGACACGACCGGAGTAGTTTGTTCTTCTTAGTTGTAAATGCTATCTCATCACAAGTGATACATGATCTTGCTGTTGTTATGCCTTTTTCACGTTTGAAACATATTTTTACATTCAAAAAGGTGTCAAAAAAGTTGACAATCCCCCACACACAAACAACGTGTCACGCAACGCTTCTGTACTGGTCATGGAAAATAGTTGCTGTAAATAATTTGTTTAAAGGGGTGTTTTTTAAGATTTCTATGTTAGATAATTTTGTAAGTTGTTTTGTTATGCTGAGGATCTTTGTTTGGAATGGGCAAGAGGACAAATAATTATTGTTATAGTTTTAACAGATGGTTCCGATTATATTGACGAAGCGTTCCTTTTTAGACATCGTAATTTAAGAACACGTAAAGACAACAGCTTGGCAATGAAGGAATGCTATAATAATAATAATGTTTGTTAAATATTTTCTCCGGAGTCAAATAAACAATCATTTAAATTTTATTATCAATTTACATGTAACAGTCATACGGCGACATTCTAACCCCTCTGGTAAATGAACATTTCAGGTAACTTTCGAGTATACATTCTTTTTTCGGAAAAGTGATAGAACAGTAAAAGACAGGAACCGATCCACTAGTCTTTGTAAATTAATCAGTCGCATGATAAAATCAATGTATACTGCAACTGTCTGACTTACAATAAATTGTTGTTATTAAAGTAGGTAAAGTCAACTAAAAACATTCAAATCATTCTGTTTTGTTTTCCTAAAAAGAAAATGATAATGTTTAAACTACAGTATATTTGTATTATAGTTTTCGTTTCCAGTTTCTCAATTTGTACATAACAAATGCATATTCTAAGTGTAAAACCTCCATCTTCATAAACAAATGTGACTACTATAGTAACACAAAGAAACATATATTACTCTCTAGTATTTCAACGAAAGGTCGAAAAGATCACCTGACAATGACAAAGTCTTACTTACAATGACATCAATTGAACTGTACTTACAATGAAGAAAGGTGCCATAGCGATGTTCGGCAGTCTGTTAGACATTGAAAGGCTTAAACACTAGAAGTTATAAAACAATGAAATAGTTCTTGCAAATGGAGACACGGTGATTTTTGCCTTAGAATTAAGCTTCTTATAATTGTTTCGTGCATGTTTATAGAATACTAGGGTTGATTTTATGTTGAATCCATGCACCATATAAATTTTGTCTTGGACTTAATATTTTGCTATTGGCTAATTAGCTAAATAAACATCTGTTAATAAATTATGTGCTATGTTTCTTTCGGATGAAGCTCGTTCTTTATCTGAATACCAGGTAAACAAGAGATGTGGTCTTTAAATAGAAAGAAGCTGATATAAAGGTATCATAAACTGCAGTGTTAATGAAATAGTTTCGAAGACGAGGTTTTGTACAACGTCAACTGAGCATCCTCAAGAGCAATTTATTTATTTACTGGTTTTATGTAAGTAAGAAATGAACATAAGTATTGCACGTACATCGCTACGTATAATTGTGTGGTTGGTGATAAATTCGTTTTATGGGGCAGCTTCTCCAATCTAAAGACCTGAATCCCATTGATTTACATATGTGTGTCAATTTAACCAAAATACATATTCGCTTTTGTATGCAATAAAGTAAGCATACACGACTGTTTTAACCTTTAGTGAAAATAGATATTTGGTACATCGTTTTCTTGATAGTTACATTTTGGCGGATATGGGGTATAAACACTTGCCAAATTTTCAGAAACATAGTCTGAACTGAAAGAATAAGACATTTGTCAAGTGTGGAAACGACTTTATTAATATGTTAGTATCTTATTATAAAAAGTGGCGTAATTTTAAATTGTATTTTTTACAGAAATGGAATTTGCCAGATCGACATTATTGTGAGTGTAAATTTTTAGAAAATGAAAGATCCTCAAGACAATAAAAACAAATTGTTAAAAATCGTAGACTTGGTTTTTATTGAGTTTGTTCATTAGGGAAAATGTTTAGAATTATACGGCTAGCAATATATTCTTCAGCAGACTTGTAATCTTTTGACTATTCAAAACTAATATTTTCTTCAAAGGCCCTTTAAGCCCTAAAACAAGATATAGTTATCTCTTTTACTGTCCTGTTGCAGTTTCTTATTGCTCAAATAGCAAGACAATTTTAAGCTTCATTTCCATCTTGTAATTAAACACAGAGTGATTTAGCATTTTATATGGAAGTTAAAATATCACATTGTTTACATTTTGCTACTTTCATGAGATATTATTTCACATTCAATGCCACTTTCCTTTCTTCAGGTAATAAGTGTCCAACATGCTCAAAACAGTATGAAATACACATTTGTCTTTTCTGAAGAAGCGACCCCCAAGAATGTTCTTTGACATGCCGAGACTTGATTTTTGTTTATCAAAATTTTAACTCTTACTTATTGATACATTTCTATACAATATACGTGTGTAAATATTCTATTTCATTATTCGCACACTTCGTTTTTTTCTTCAACAAAAATTGGATTTTTATAGTGCAAAATGACCTACAGATAACTCAAATCGGACTAAGAATCGCACTAAGTATCAATCTCAATTCACCTGGGTTTATAAATCTTTTGTATATTCTTTCCGCTTTTAGTGCCCTACTAGGTCTATGTAGGATTTTTAAGTTTCATTTTTAATCATGGACCTCAGTTCAAATCCTTTTAATATAAATTTATTGTAAAGCTTTTAAGAAATGTTATTTCTTTTTGACATATTTTCATCAACAATTATTTTGGTCGAAACCTACATTGATTAAACTATTGTTGTTGCAGATAGTGCTTAAAATAAGAATTGAAAATAGTATGTGGCTAGGACAGTCTCAGAACATAAGTCAGCTTGGTTAACTGTTGTTCTTTTTTTTCTTTTGTTGTTGTCGGTTTTTTTTTACTTTAAATCTGTTTCAAAATAAAACGCTGATATCTTTAGAAAAAAAGGATTCAAGGTCATAAGGGTTTCTATCGGTAGGATCTGTGTTCCAAAAACACAAACTTTTTTATGTCCTTGAACAATTCAGGAATTGCTGTAAAAGTAAGAACAAATTAAAATAACTCAAAGACAATTCTTTTTCTACACTGCTAAAAATAACACTAAATTTGCTAGAATCAATGGTCCAGAAGAGCCGGAAAAAAAAACATAACGCGAGAGTGAAGCAAATTACAGCTGTTCAAAGACACTCGACACCTGCTGTAAAAGTAAGAACAAATTAAAAAAAACTCAAAGACAATTCTTTGAACAAATATACTATCAATGAAAACTTCCCTTTATCCCTTACTTTAACCTTTTTTATTTTTTGTTTTTGTTTTTTTTTTCGATTTTTTTTTCTCTCTCTCTTATCTTTGCATGGATTATATTGTTTCTATGTCCATCACGTAAGTAAGTATCAAGGAGGAAGCTCGATAATAAACAAGGGGGGTTTAAAATAAGATTTGAAATTCGCTAGTCATATGTTTTACAGGAAAACTTAATTTTCCTTATTATGTTTATGCAAGTTAAAATAAAGTTTTGTTAACTTCGAAAGACTATAACAATCGATCGCGAGTTCCTTTCGAAAATAAATTAACGAGGCCTCTTTATTCGTTTAGACGTTCTTATAATATGTTGTAAGCAGTATACATAAATTCATAACAACCTGCATATAGTCTAATCAAATGTACCATATAACAAATATTCAACCAAACAAATGCAACTCACTTATTAACAGAAGATTATCTGGTAATAACAATCTGAATAAACATGAAAATATTGTTTAAAGAGTAACAGATACCGACATCACGGTAAAGCCGGATTTTAACCAATGAAAACAAAAGCAATGATACTAAAGGTTTTAACTGGTAACATTTTACATTTCTTGGTATTTGACGCGATAAACATATGAAAATATTTGAAATGCTGGTAGGTGATTTCATAGTTTCAAGATTGTTAATGAATAATACAGATTAACCCAGGTCCACCTATAACCATGTAAGTATATTCTACAGTCTGGCCAACATTAAACTGACAACAAATTTTACTAAGTCTAGGCGAAAGGTAATTTCTCGTCTTTTATAGAACATTTGTTGTTTTGTTTTTTTTTTTACAAAAGATTCTCCTGGACAAATAACTGCAAGCATTTTGAAAAAAGTTACTAAGAATGACAAAAGATGGTTTAGCCTTTGTGAATAAAATGAATTGATTTTTTTTAAAACATCTAATCAAATCCGTTCGATAGAAATATACGGTTCTTACACCGGCTGTGTATAAAAGCGTATCAATTTACAACTTTATTCATAATGGCTAAATGACGCCTTTTTATGAACACAATTCATTTATAAAAGGCGCGCGGGAAAGACATCAATTAAACCACGCTATTTTTCTTACATGGGGGTGTGAGACAGGTTTGTCTTACACCGGTGAATACAGAAGATAATCCTGTCTGATATGCATGTATAAGTCGTCTGACACCTCATGATCACACTAAATGGGGGCCCTTTAACGTGTCTATACATTATGTTATTTTATAAGGACCACAATGGAAATAAGTCGGCTTATGCCTTCTTTTTGTGTCATCCTTGGTATTGAATATATGGCATCAACACATGCACTTTCATGTTTACATGTATCTCTTGATGTTGCGTTGAATTTGTAGTTGTTTTATGACATGTATTTTTACCAGAATAAAACTATCTATCTATCTACAACAACGTGATCTTTTTCTTAAGTAAATGCGCCGGAAATATATGCTTCAATTTAAGCTGTGTCTGTCGCTCGCTATTCATTGAAGGTTTTTAAGACGAAAAAATGTACTTTTGAATAAAATAATACAGTATTCAGTTTTAACTGGAGTTTACTTCTATATTAATATCTGATTTACTTATTTTGCCTTAAACTCATAAAAGTCTTGAGATATTATTAATTGCAAGATTTGTTTGCCATCAAATTCCTCTATATGTTGTAATACAAAAATTTGAAACATAATTGTATATTAAAAGTCAATAACCAATTAGAAGACATACTATTAATGTTAAGTGATCTATATATTTTAAAGAACAAGGTTGCAACATTACATTTTCTACATGCCCATGTCTGTTGCAAGTATGCATCATACTTATACATAGTTTGTATACAAGGCAAAACTTCTAACTCACTTCTGTATAAATTCGTGTAATGATCTATTAATGAGCTGCATAATTTAATTTTAATAATACACTACATAACCAATGGTATTCGCTTTAACTCAGTCATTTGAGATATTTAAAGTCACATTTGCGCTTTTTCCGTCAATACCCAGCGTGACCATAGGTCTTCTTTGGTAAACAGCGACAACTTCACCTCATGAATGTGATAAATAAATGAATATGTTTCATAAAAAAATTGTTTCATTCCTATGAATATCCTACAAGTTTCGAATATTCCAGAATTTGACAAAACAAAACAACAATAAACAAAGACTGACTGTGCAAGGGGTGAACAAGCTATAAACGGACAAATCGGTATAAACTCTACCTGCTAAGTGTTGTCCGACCATATCGCGTTATTTCACGTGACTAGTACCAACATAGTACTGTAAATGCGTTCGTTATACATGAATCCAGTTTAAGAGTACGTAAGGTGTTCGTCTTATTGGAGAACGGGATAGTCGCCCAATATTATAACTAGGCTCAAAGTTCTGCAGCAATATTCACGACCAAACACGTCAGTATATGTCCATAAAGTTCTTTAACAGTCCGGAAAAAGTTTAACCACGATCACTTCGTTTTCGCACAATTTGACTCCGTTGGGTCATATATTTTAGAACGAACTTCAAACTTGCTTGGTATTAAAGGGGTTAAATAGAAATGGCCCAATAAATATTTTTCTCCATAAAATACGGTGACTTGGTAGTAAAATGAGAAAACCTAAATTTTAGATTGTCAACATAACATACAGACAAAAAGATCAAAGCGATATTGTTAATGATTTTATCAAGAAAAAATACAGAATACTTCTTAAGTATGGTTTAAAAGTACAGACGTTAAATATCAGAAAGACTTAATTTTGCAAACGATAACGAATAACATTAATGATATTTAGTGTCGACATAGCGTGTGGTGACAAAGAGAATCAAAATGTTCAGCTTCAGCTTCAACTTTGAAGATGTCCATTGATGAAGTTCATGAATATTTGCTGTTTGAAGAAATACACTGTTTGATTTGAATGCGTAATTTCCCGGGATTCGGTACGCGCATAAAGAATTCGTAGTATAATAAAAGAATATACATCCAAATGGCAGAAAAGTGGACATTCTGTTTTCGAAGCAAACATGTCAAGTGTTATGAACGTTCTAAAGAGAATTTTCGATTTTGAAATATAGTACAACTGTAGATTTTCTGTAATAATTTTTGAGGCTGACGGCACGCTTCTTTTTATAAGCTGAAAATTTCATAAATACTGTCTGTAAATGCGGAGATCGCTTGGCAGCAATAAATCAATAAACGTATATGAATATGCAGAACCACTTTCATACTTAATGTTCTTGAGTCAATGATCCACAAAGGCCAGAACAAACGCTTGAGTGAAGAAGTGAAGAAATGTGCAACTTTATACAGCTGCCACAAGGCATCCGATACCTGCTGTTGTGAAATATGAACTTGTCTGTTCTTTGTTCTTTGTTAATATACACTTGGAATAATAACTAAACAAATAACAAATTTTATTCATTAATGTTTGCAATTTATCTGAATTCAATTTCGCACAATGGTCTTAATTTAAAACTGCATGACACATCGTTCCACTTGTAGTTCTGATTATAACCGAAGTGTACACAATCTTCAGCACCCTTGTCATTGTTGGGCTCCCCTGCTCCCCAGTCAGAGAATGTAGCATGCTCTTTTGTGTCAAACCATCTCCAGATCCCTTCATGAGAGATGTCGGTCAATCCCATCCACGTATGTCCAGCTGTTTATAAAGAAACAAGAAAAAATATTTAATACAGAATGAGAGCGACAGGAATATCAACGACCTACTTTTTGTAAAAGAAATAAATAAAGCTGTTTTATGAATACTGACAAGTAAATGAAATAATTGTTTCTGTACTAGATTAATAGACATTAAGCCATTTATGCTGTCATACTCATTTTAACCTTAATACATTTAAAGCAATAACTGATAAAACATACAATAAAAGGTTCTTAGACTGGACAATTTCAATTTTTCATTAACTATTGATGTGATGCTAATTTTGTAAATTTATAGTGATGGAAATCCATCCATTTTTTTCGCTATTTTATTTATTCAACGTATGTACACGTGTATGATTTTGATCACAAAACAAACATTTTACCTATAGCGATATTCCTCCTAAAACGTTTTTCTGTGTATATACCATTATATCTTCAACAAAAATACAACAGAAACGGAACTGTTAAAATATTCACTTACCGTTAGTTTTCTTTAAAATTCCAGCCAAGAAAGTGTATTCAGCAAACGTGTCAAGTCGTACAAGGTAAGAACCACGATGTTGACAGTACGCCTTTATGAAACAATAAAGAAATGGTGTACATATAATGACAGATTATCAGACGTTTACCAGTTTCAGAGTATCTCAATAATTAATAATCAGTTCGACGGATTCATTTTTTTTCTAACTCAAAAATACAATGAATCTGGCCATTTTTGGTAACAACTTTGACGAATAGATTTCTATGCGACTGAAATACCAGGAAACATCATTTGATCGTACAGAAATAAATAAAATTATCTAAATACTAATGAATTATACTTAACCTGGAAAAACAGTTGGTTGATAAAATAATTATCTGAGTACCAATATATATAAATGTATGTGTACATTCAGGTTATTACTATTATGTCGTATCTATACTAGAAAAACATATTCATTGTCTGCCTCACCCGTGCCTCAGAAAATGTAAGATCCGTCCCATAACCAATGTGGTAACAATGACCTTGATAAGGTATCCAGCCATCTTTGCAGCAAGCTTAAACATTTTTTAGCTGTTATAGATGTATGACATTTAACATATTTTAGAAAATGTGTTACTACCTATACCGCTGGGCAGTTGACAATTATTTAAAATAATTATAACAAAAATAAGCCATAATGTTCTTTCTTCGCCAGTATAGAATTTGGAGAACTAATCTTAAAATCAACCGCATCGACCTCAATAATTATTGACATTAAATACACTTAATTGAGTACATACCAACAAGGAAACTTATCAAATTAATTAACAAACAAAATCGTGCATTTATATCAATCGTATGCATTGTACTTAATACTTTACATAATAAATAATTAGCATGTAATTTATTTAGCACTCATTATCTAAATATCTAAAATTTAATAATTCAACACATTCCAACGAGGAAAAATGTCATAAATTTGAAGCGAAAAGTCATTCTGGAACTTTCACTTCTATAAATGCTGTGAGCTAAGTGTATTTTTAGCTTTTATAAATCTTTTTACCTCTTGCATTAACGCCTGACACTAGGCTTGTTACAGCAAACAGCAATGCTACAGCAGTCTTCATATTTCCAAAGCCCAGCAGCATGTCTAGATGTTATCATTATATGGTTATTTGGACAGGTAATATATAACAATATTGTATAAAAAGTTGCTTTCGTAAAAAATTCGATTACTGTGTACATTGGGAAATTTTAAAACAAAACATAAATAAAATAGTTCACTTTTGTCAAAGCATTATGATACGTGCATAATAAAAATGCAAATCAAATACCTCGGTACAGTAGTGTATTTCAAGCAGTAACAATAAAAATCACTAAACAACTTGTTGTCAGCTGAAAAAAAAAATGTAATTAAAATGAAAATTGTAAACGAATTTTATTTCAGTTAGGTAAATATAAAAATAATATATTATTGAATTATTTCATGTAATTTCAAGGATCATACTTACGAACAAAGCACTCTTTATTATATTATCTAACACTGTCTCTTTATTCCTTCCCGATCCTGCCAATCTATTTAAGTAAGTGACACGGCCAGAGTAGTATGTTCTTTTTATTTGTAAATTCAATTACATCGTAAGTACGTGAAGTAGATACATGGTCTTGTAATTGTTATGTTTTGTTATGTTTTGCACGTATACGAGTTTGAAAAATATATTTTACATTTAAAAATGTCGTTAGTGCCCCCCCCCCCCCCCGTTCTCGCCACACACACAACAGCGAGTATGTCACGCGACGCTTCTGTACTGGTCATGGGTAATAACTGCTGTAAAAAAATTCTGACGGGACAAAGGATTTCGCACGTTTGAAACAAATATTACGAATGTTCGCGTAATAGTATCTCTTTTTGACACGTAAATACTGTGTATTTTAATTCTATTAATGCAACATCAAAAGGATGTTTTAAGATTTCTATGTTAGATAATTTTGTACGTTGTTTTGTTATGCGGAGGATCTTTGTTTCGAATGAGCAAGAGTTCAAATAAAACTTGTTAAGTTTTAAAAGATGGTTCCGATTGCATTCACGAAGCGTTCCTTTTTAGACATCGCAATTTAAGTACATGTTAAGACAACAGCTTGGCAATGAAGGATTGTCATAATAACTATGTTCGTTTAAAATTTTCTTCAGGGTCAAACAAACAATCCATTTAAATTTTATTATCAATTTGTAAGGGTTACAGTCATACGGCGACATTCAAGCTCCACTGGTAAGGGAACAGTTCAGGTATCTTTCTAGTATACATTCATTTTTTGGAAAAGTAATAGAACAGTAAAAGAAAGGAAACGATCCACCAGTCTTTGTAAAATTATCAGACGCATGATAAAATCAATGTACACGGCAACAATCTTACTTACAATAAAATGTTGTTAATGAAGTTGGTTAAGTCAACTAAAACATTCGAATCATTCTCTGCTTTGTTTTTCTCAAAAGAAAATGATTATGTTTATATAACATTATGTTTGTGTTATAGTATTCGTTTCCAATATATTAATATGTACATAACAATTTAACAAATGTGTTAATTGAACTTAATTTTCAAATTCCGCATAATCCCATGAACATTTGGCTGATTCGATCGTTTTGGTCTAGAAAAAAGTAGATGATAAGTTTGCAAAATTGAAAGTTTTTCTCAACATAACGAACATGGTACGTAGAGCATCGCTTTACTGACGCACCAATGTTTCCTAAATACAACAGTCTGTTATAAACAATAGAAAAGATATAGAGCTATATCATGACTGTTCTTTCAAAGTAAAGTAAGCTTTGTCTTTGTTGTTCTTCAACTATCAGCCATCTTGGATCTATGTCTTGGATTTTATACGTATATTCTAAGTGTGAAACCTCCATCTTGATAAACAAATGTGACTCCCATAGTAACACAAAGCAACATATATTACTCTCTAGTTTTTCACCGAAAGGTAGACGAGATCACCTGACAATGACAGAGTCTTACTTTCAATGACATCGTTGTTGGTGAAAGATGCCATGGTGATGTTCGGCAGTCTGTAAGACATTGCAAGGCTTAAACAATAGAAGTCATAAAACAATGACATAGTTGTTGCAAATGGAGACATTGTAATATTTGCCTTAAAATGAAGCTTCTTATAATTGTTTCGTGCATGTTATAGAATACTAGGGTTTAATTTTATGTTGAATCCATGCACCATATAAGTTTTGTAATGCCTTAAAATCTTGGACTTAATATCTTGCTATTAGCAAATTGGCTGAATAAACATCTATAAATGAATTAAGTGCTATGTTTCTTTCGGATGAAGCTCGTTCTTTATCCGAATACCAGGTAAACAAGGGATTTTGTCTTTAAATAGAAAGAAGCTGATATTAAGGTAACATTAACTGCAGTGTTATTGAAATAGTTTTGAAGACGAGGTTTTGTACAACGTTAACTGAGCATCCTCAAGAGCAATTTATTTATATACTGGTTTTATGCAAGGAAGAAATGAAAATCAGGATGGCACGTACATCGCTACGTATAATTGCTTGGTTGGTGATAAATTCTTTTTATGTAGCAGCTTCTCCAATCAACAGACCTGAATTCTATTGATTTACATATGTGTGTGAATTTAACCAATATATAAATCCGCTTTTGTATGCAATAAAGTTAGCATACACGACTGTATCATCGTCGGATACCCACGATTGATAAACATGTTACATAACATGCAATCAACCGTGGGTAAAATGATTCGATTAGCGTCGATATACAGCAACAGGTGCGTAAAATATCCACCAATGACATCGCGTTTAACAAATCTATATTCTTCAACAGCGGAGGTAAAAAACAATAAGAAACAAAATGGCAGCGCCCACGGTAAAAAACTGTTGTACGTGTCTTGCTAAAATCAATGGCAAAAACTATCGGCAAATCAGTTCTTCTGCAAGCAGATATCAATCAGAAAGGAAAACATCACGCTGTAAAAGTAAATTATCCATGCTTTCTTGTTGGAAATCGTTTAATTTTTCGATGTTGACCTTTTTTACGTCGCCTATGGTTGTCGCAATATATTAGTGTCTGTTATACCGAACGTCGAACAGAACGAGCGTTTTGACTGGTTTTAATCGCCTCATGAAATCGTGAGGCAGCCAATGAAATAGCTGCTTTTGACACACCTCTAATCGACTGAATATCGGCAAAAAATCCCACGGCTGATAAATGTTAATGGTTCGGCCGTGGGTATCCGACGATGGACTGTACAAACCTTTAGTGAAAAAAGATATTTGGTACATCGTTTTCTTGATAGTTATATTTTGGCGGATACATGTATAGGGTATAAACACTTTTTTAAACAGATTTTCAGAATCTTAGTCTGAACTGAAAGAATAAGACATTTGTCAAGTGTGGAAACGACTTTATTAATATGTAATTAAGTATCTTTTTATAAAAAGTGACATAATTTTAAATTGTTTTTGTTACAGAAATGGAAGTTGCCAGATCGACAATATTGTGAGTGTAAATTTTCAGAAAATGGAAGATCCTTCACATGCAAAGACAATAAATACAAATTGTTAAAAATCGTAGACTTGGTTTTATTGAGTTTGTCCATTAGGGAAAATGTATAGAATTATACGGCTTGCAATATACGCTTCAGCAGACTTGTAATCTTTTTACTATTCAAAGAAATAGTTTCTTCAAAGGCCCATTTAGCCCAAAAACAAGATATTGTTATCTCTCCTAGTGTCCTAGTGTTCTGTTGCAGTTTCATATTGGTCGTATAGCAAGATAATTTGAAGCTTCATTTACATCTTGTAATTCAACACAGAGTGATTTAGCATTTTATATGGAAGTTAAAATAATATCACATTGTTTACATTTTGCTACTTTCATGAGATATTATTTCACATTTAATGCCACTTTCCTTTCTTCAGGTAAAAAGCGTCCAACATGCTCTTCATTTATTATTAAAACAGTATGAAATACACATTTGTCTTTTCTAAAGAAACGACCCCCGAGGATGTTCTTTGACATGCCGGGACTTGATATTTGTTTATCAAAATTTTAACTCTTACTTATTGATACATTTCTATACAATATACGTGTGTAAATATTCTATTTCATTATTCGCACATTTCGTTTTTTCTTTCGACAAAAAAGGGATTTTTATAGTGCAAAATGACCTAAGCATAACTCAAATCGCACTAAATTATAATCTCAATTCATCTGGGTTTATAAATCTTTTGTATATTCTAACCGTTTTTAGTGCCCTACTAAGTCTATGTACGATTTTCAAGTTTCATTTTTAAGCATGGACGTCAGTTCAAATCCTTAAAATATAAATTTGTCGAAAAGCTTTTTAGAAATGCTATTTCTTATTGACATATTTTCATCCACAATTATTTTGGTCGAAACCTACATTGATTAAACTATTGTTGTTGCAGATAGTGCTTAAAAAAGAATTGAAAATAGTATCTGGCT